GCGCTGATTGGTGGGATTGTTTGATGTCGCGTCGTTTGATTGGCTATCGGTTCGTACTTACGTTAAAAAATCAAAAACACGGAAACATCTACGTTAAATAATCCTCAAAATAATGTAGATTAAAAAACGCTGTTGAAAACCCTATGATGGTAAATGCGTCTGTGAATTCAGTATAATACGTGACTTTGGCTCCATCATTAACTACGTTTAATATGCATTTAACACAAAATGGCGGTTGTGATTCCAAAGCATTAATAATAAATGAAGTTTCTCTTAATCCGCTAATATATGTTAGCAGAGCTTAACGTAACGTGAACGTAGGTAAACTGATACAAGCACAGAACACAGAAAGTGGTTGACAGGACACAGAAGGAGGACATGTGGGTGGGTTTTTTTTTTTTGATTCCTCCCAGGCGGGGGAGCGTTTGTGAAATCCTCATGGAGACCTTACAGCCGGCTGTAAGGTTATGTCAGACTCTAACTGACTAAAACACACCCGTAGTTTATGCTTAAGGCCTGAAGGGCCTGACAAGCTTCATCTGAAGCGATTATCCCCTGAGAGGGGGATAATGCAGCTGTGGGTGGGGCAGGCGCGCCTCAGTTATATGTGAGCAAATGCTCATAACTTGACCAAAACTTGGTTCTAATTGCGTCGTTGCTCTCGTTAATTGGTTCGATTGTTTGATGTCACGTCGTTTGATTCGCCATTATCTATTTCGTGGAAGTGTAGTCGGGGCAAGTCGGCGACATAGGTTCCCGTACAAACGGTCTATTATCACCCTTCTAACCTCCTTCCATATTCTGTGGATAAAAGCAAGTCCTACCGTCCATTCGTTGGGCAAATTTAAAGAAGATCAATGGGTAGTGGCACTTTCAGTTATTATTATGGACGACAGGAGACAAGTTGGCAAGCGTCAGCGAGAGCCGAAAGCGTGCATTTGAATATTTTTGTCTTATTTTAATTTCCTCTCTAGTAATAAATAATACAGTATGTTTAATTTATACATTGATAGGAACACTGTATTCATATTAAAAGGGAATGGGTGTTAATTCTGCAACACAGTTTTTGTAAAACTATAGCAGATTTAACGTTTCGTAATTGTATGTACATTGCATTTGTTCAAAATAAAGTTATTATTATTATCATTAAATATGTTTCATCATCATCATCATCAGCCTATTAATGTCCCCACTGCTGGGGCACAGGCCTTCCCTATGGATGGAATAGGGAGATAGGGCCATGACCCACCACGCGGGCCCAGTGCGTATTGGCGGGTGCCAATACGCACTGGCTGCATCTGCAGTCGTTAGCATCTGCTAACGACTGCAGATGCAGCCGGGACCAACGGCTTAACGTGCCTTCCGAAGCACGGAGGAACTCGAGATAGAAGATTTTTGATCACCCATCCAATGACCGACCACTGTGAAAGTTGCTTAACTTCAACGATCGCAGCCGAACGCGCTAACCACCTGCGCCATCGAGCTCCTCAATAATAAATCCTCCTCAAATATGTTTATAAAACTAACAATAAAAATATAACAAAGAACTAATTTTTTGTAGTTCTACAAACAATTCCATCTATTATGCTTAAACGTAAACAAGATCGAAGGTTATTGCAGAGGTTGCAATTATCGCTAAGGTGTAAGTCCTTAACAAACATTGTTAAGTTCAAAATGGAAAACCTGATTCGTTTGACGTTTTAAATAATTGCTATGATGCAATCATTCCCAAGGGAAGGGAATCAAGATGGAGGAGCTTTTTTTTAATTTCACTTATGAACGTTGGTGCAACCAAGTCTATCTTTGACTTTGTCTTCATCCCATTATATCCCATAATATCAACAGTGCGACCAAAATCGCATTGAAATGAAATTATTTTTTTTTACTCTACTTAGATTACTCTGGTTTCCCTTCATTACGCTTAAATCTTTCGCCTTTTTAGATTACATTGGATATGTTGTTTTTTTTTTTGGGTGTGTATGCTATTGGTTGCAGATGTCCTTTACAGAGTCACCGGGTTTGGGGACGGCGAGATCCTTAGGGGACCTCAAGCCGAGAATTGGCGAGTGGCTCTAGAGGTATTCCAGGCGGATGGCATCTCCCTACGGGAGGAGTCTCCTCTCGGAGCCTCTAGACCACTCGAACCTGAGGGGTGATAAGTTGATCATCCAAAATATTGTAAATAAGCCTAATAACCATTTCAAATGGCTTGCAAATGTCAGTTATACAGGTAAAAATGTGGCGCGTGGTCGAAATTCAGAATTAAATTAAGGAGGGTATAAATAACCTCTTTTTATTTATATCAGAAGGTTTTAATAAGCTTTTTATATTTCCTTTTACTATTTCCGAGTTACTACAAATTATATGACATTCCGTAAGTGAGGAGATTCTATGTACGTGTTGAAAGGCAAAAGGGGAAGATCTTCCTCTGAGCTGGATGATGGTAGCTCGGGGGCCGCGAGCCGACTGATTTTGGTCGGTCATTGTATATATCGAGTATTAGTATCCGAATTTCACTTGCGCGATGTAGGCTTCCAAACGTATTGATCGCAGCGTCGGTAGCGCCATCTTTTGAGGAGGCGATTGATTATTTTCTCCGTCCGTTGGATATTGGCTGAGCATATAGATGAATTGTAATTTTCAGTATCCAGCCATTCGATTTAGTGCTTTTTTTTTGTTGTTGTTGTTAATTGTTAATGCAGACATAAATTGTGTCTAATAAGTTGTTTTGTGGTAAATGTCTTTTGCCATAGCGTGTGGGTTTAAAAAATATGTTTTTTTTTCTCTTCTTTCTTTTTTAAATGGCTGTGGCAAAAATATTTTGATACGTTCAGCCAAGCAAGTTTGTTTTTTATTTTTATTCCTGTTCTTTTATTTTGTTTAATACACCGGTTTGGTGTATTAGTTATACACCAAATTTCTTTAATTAATTCTTCTATTTGTTTACTTGAATTTGTGTGCTGTACTGATGGGAAAAATTATTTATCTATGTATTTAATAACAGTGTAGCTCCTGCCTTATCGCTAAGTATGAAACTTATACCCCCTTATTAATATACGAGGAATAAGCTTAAGCTAGTTACGCCGTGTTTTGTTCATATCACGCAAATACCATTTGTCATTCAATGTTAAGAGACAAGACCTCAAATTCTTCGGGCATATTACTCGTAATGAGAACTCCATGGAACGATTGGTGGTGTAAGGGAAAGTTTAGGGCAAAAGGCTTGCGGGCGCTCTCCGGCACGGCGCACAGACCTTATTAAATCGGCGACGCACTCCAGCGTAAATGATTTCAGCTTTCGCTGAGAAAATCGAGCTGCATGGCGACGCATTACGATTGCATTAATGACACAGGAATCGACCGAGGCATGACCACGACCACTCTGTCAAGAATGCACGACTAGGAAGAAAGAACAAAGACAAAACATGAAGTAACTAATTCAAGCTTATTCTTTGTTTATCAATAAAGGGGACAGGGTGAATTTATTTAGGTCTTTAATGATTGAACACGCGTATGAAATTGGTAACTTTCTAGAAATAGAGAAAAAAGAGCGAGCGAGATTACCTACCATTTGTTTCGTTACTCACACACTGCACGGAGGAGCTCGAGATGGTGAATTTTTGGTCATCCATCCAATGACCGACCATTGGGAAAATGCTTAACGTCAACGATTGCAGTCGAACGCGCTAAACACTTGCACCATCGAGCTCCTCACACTTTCATTTGTTTTACTTTAAAGTTAAATAGGGAATGCTCAGCCCATGATTTTATTTATTAAATGGCCTCAACAATGACGTGAAGATAGCTGGAGCAGCACCTGCCATACGAGCCATCCTTACTTTGCCAGCCTGCTAGTTGCTTCTTGCAGCCTCTTTTATGTATCCTGGGTTCGTAAGCGGACAAAGCATTCCATTCGCGTACAATGCGTCAAAGAAATGTGTCACCAAATCTCTTTGTTTGTGTTGGAATAGTGGCCACAGTAAGTTTGTGACAGCGGAAACCAGCATGTTGAGATATGGTTCATGGTACAATGCATACCACATCTTAAATTCTCTACTTTCTTAATGTCTATATGGTTTCATTTGAAATATTTGATGTATGACATTTATTATAATAAAAAAGACACTTACATGTCAATGTTCGTCAAAATAAGGTGAGTTTCAATTTTTAACACCGAATACAGCATGCGTGGTCCTCTGAAGCAAAGGGGAAGGTGGAATGAGGGGAATATAGCTCCACAAAACATTCGCCATCGTATACACGATAGGACGTGCTTAATGACGCCACATCATGGAGTAATTGAAGAGGCTCGAAGTGTTTCGTCTTCGTCACATTGCCAATGATGCGAGTCGTGCGTCAATGTTCTCTATATAAAATTTAAGCAATCTTCATTTTAGTTATTATATTTACTAGCAAACCAGTGAACCAGATGTTCACCAAAAACTGATTTAAAAAAAAATGTATTTAATTAATTGAGAACTTTGGAGATTTTGTGTGATTTCGTTTGAAATTCGTGATTTCTCCAAAACCGGAAGTGCTACGTTACTCAAATCCGGTTTGTAGTCTTATCAGACTATTCTTAACTTATAACTTAAACATTCTCTTTATCTATCTCTTACGGTTTGGCCGCTGAAACAGCACCACAGACAGACGGACGGACGGACGGACCTACTTGTCTAATAGATAAGAGATTATTTTAAAGCATGTAACTGCTTGATGTTTAAATCTAAAGAAAATATAACTAGAAAAAATCCCAGAAGAAACTAGAAGAAATAGTTGTGGGTTACCTATAATGCGAAGAGATGGCGCTGCCTTGCAGCTTAACAATGGCTAGAAGAATTTCGACGCGGTTCGTGAGGGCTGCGGTAGCATTATTGGTCAGTGCATTCGCCCGGATTGCGAAGGGTGCGGGTTCGAGTCCCGTCTGCTGCCTGGTCCGCCTGGATTTTTTTCTAGTTATATTTTCTTTAGATTTAAATCTTCATTTCGTTTTCCATCAGGTGACTGATCTATTCGGTCAGATGCGCGAGTCTCCGCCGGGGGTGAACAGCCCCAAAGGCTCTACGGGGTCTCTTGGTGGATCGGTGACCAAGAATCTAGGCTTCCAGCAGCAACAAGCAGAGTTACCCTGGACCAGCCAAACTATTTCATTGCCAGGGAACTGCAATTCCAACCTGTAAGTCTTATGTAACTTCTCTGTAACTTGATGTGGCATTTTGATTTTATAGGCTTGTAGCAGCAACAAGCGGAATTACCCTGGACCTGTCAGGCCAACTCATTGGCGACCTCCGTGGCCGAGTGGTTCGTACGCCGGGTTTCATGGTGTCGCCGATTCGAGAGGTCCCGGGTTCGAATCCCGGTGGGGCGGATGTTTGTGTGATGAATACGAGCATTTGTACTCCAGTCATAGATGTTTGATATGTATGTCTGTAACAATATACTTATATATGTACAGTATATGTATTCTATCCGTTACCCTAGTATCCCATAACACAAACCCTATAGTGCTTACTTTGGGGCTAGGCTAATTAGTGTGAGTGTTGAAATATTTATTTATTTATTGGACAGCAACTCTAATCTGCAAGTCTTTTGTGATATTCTTTGTAACTTGATGTGACGTTTTGATCTTATTGGCTTCGGGCAAACGAGAAGTTGGGATAAGGGAGAATAACTCTTCAGAACATTCGCCGTGGTATAGTTGGTAACAGGGGGTTACTATTGGCAGAACGAACAGATGGAAAAAATCTATGAAGTGCACTCTTTTGGGTCGCTTTCAACTCCCTGGATTCCTCCGCATCATCATCATCATCCTATTAATGACCCCACTGCTGGGGCACAGGCCTTCCCTATGGATGGAATAGGGAGATTGGGCCATGACTCACCACGCGGGCCCAGTGCGGATTGGTGGGTGCTAACGACTGCAGGTGCAGCCGGGATCAACGGCTTAACGTGGCTTCCGAAGCACGGAGGAGCTCGAGATAGTAAATTTTTGGTCACCCATCCAATGACCGACCACTGCGAAAGTTGCTTAACTTCAACGATCGCAGCCGAACGCGCTTACCACTTGCGCCATCGAGCTCCTCTATTCCTCCGGATTCCTCCGCATACTGTTTCATAATATCCAAACCCATGGCCGATAAGCAGGACCGATATGCAATTTGTTACTATTTGATCGGTAGTCCTTCTATAGATGCATGCAGTATTCTTCTGTTCAGTAATTTGCTAAACTACTTTTGTTTTCAATGTCTTCCATCCTCCTCTTCCTAATTTGTAAATGTAGGTGTAGGTCGTATCATTAAACAAAGCGATCGCAAAAGATGACGTAAGACATACTGTCCCTGTCGCTCATACTATCCTAAGTCACGTGCGTGAGAGACAGAACATCTTGCGGCGGCATTTTCGATTCCTTTCTTTAGTGGCACGAGTTACCTATAATGAATTCATCACTGAAAATTCCTCGCCACTGAAGCCAAATAGTGACGTCACAGTTCCTGAAAACGCACATTTTAAATATTCTTCAGTACTAACAAATAAATCACAATGAGATCTGAATCCCAACATTGTCCTCTTAGCTTCGAACAAAATTACTCGCAGTGTTTTGGGTCAATGTCAGGAGTACGACGCAATAGTGTTGTTAAAATATTATATCATTTACATTTATAGATGTTGAAGCATTTGTGAAATATTTTCTTACCTTATAATTTACAGCTGTGTTAATAATGAATACAGTAAGAGCGACAAAATAAGCGTTTCTTGTGCCAAAGTAACTATTTGCACATGTTTTTTAAATAATTTAAACAACTTGTGTGTTGATGGTAGGTACGCGAGTTAAATTCGTATCCAGGTTTAACCTTGAATGAATGAATAAAAAAATTATGTATGAAACTTTCATATGCAATATATATTCGTTACGACGATCCATGACAACCTCCGTGGCCGAGTGGTTTGTACGTCGGGTTTCAAGGTGTCGCTAACTCGAGAGGGTTCGAATCCCGGTAGGGGCAGATGTTTGTGTGATGAATACATGAATTTGTACTCCAGTCACGGATGTTTAATATGTATTTCTACATAACTATCCTTTTAAATATCAGTATATGTATTCTATCCGTTAACATAGTATCCCAAAACACAAGCCTACAGTGCTTACTATGGGGCTAAGCTAACTGGTGTGTGTGTTGGAAATATTTATTTATTTGAAAGTCAGAGGCTTCTATCCCTATCACCGAAATATTCCAAGAATATCAATGAGATTAATTAACAAAACCTATGTCTTCTTTATACACACATCAAAAGTGTCTAGGGATCAAGCATTTTTATGCGGATTTCTTGAGATTGAGATGTGGCTTTGTAATAAATTTATGATTTTATAAATTTATATGGATCCTTTTTGGTGCATTTCATAATTTGAATCAGGAACTGTGAATCAAATTCGAGTAAAAGATGAAAATCAGCTGTCAATATTTTCCCTATAAAAACATACAACGCATTGAAGACATTATTAGTGCTACTGTTTCCCTACTACTGATTAAAACCAACGTTATTATGGAGCGGCGACGTCATTTAAGCAGGGAACAAATGCTCAGAGCCGTGGGAATGATAGAAGCTGGTTCCCGGCAACGTACTGTGGCTTTAGCTCTGAATACAAGTCAGAGTGTTATCAGTCGACTTTGGACACGATACCGAAGCACTGGTACCGTGGCTGAGCGCCATGGAGGACGGTATCGCTGCACCACACGGAGACAAGACCGATACATTCAAATCTTAACTCGAAGAGCTCCAACAATAACCGCCATGATGTTAGCCGTGAGGCTTCATCACTCTTCAGGGAACTTAATTAGCGACCAAACAGTCAGAAACCGCTTGCATGAAGTGAACCTTCATTCCCGAAGACCGCTACGGGTACCACCTATAGCAATGCACAATCGTAGGATTCGATATCAATGGGCTCTTGAACACAGAAATTGGGCAGAAGAACAATGGCGTTTCGTGTGCTTTTCTGATGAGTCTCGTTTTGGTATGAGACCGGATACAAGACGTATACGACACTGGAGAACCCCTGGACGCCAACAGCGATTAAAATCCTGCCAGGAAGTCCATCCTTATAGTGGTGGAACCATCATGGTATGGGCGGGTATTTGGATCGGCGGAAGAACTGAGTTGATTTGGATCAGAGGCAACCTCAACGCTCAAATTTATGCTGAGACGATTGTATCAGACGTCATCGTTCCTCTACAAGTGCAAATCGGTCCCTTATTTCAGTTAATGCATGATAATGCACGACCGCACACCGCAAGAGTTGTAAGACAGACTCTCGCCGCAGCTAACATCAATGTCCTGCCCTGGCCTGCTCAGTCGCCAGACTTGAACCCGATTGAGCATGCATGGGATATGCTACAGAGAAGAGCTCTGCCGAATATGGAGGGTATCCAGTCGCAAGAAGACCTTTTTTTGTTGTTGCAACGAACATGGGCGGCCATTCCACAGCGTGATTTGGATGAACTCATTTTGAGTATGCCAAACCGATGTTCTTGTGTTGTTAGTCTTCGCGGTAGAAATACGGATTATTAATTGTTTAAATTACCCAATAAAATTTTAGAGAAAACTGTTATTTCAGTCTTTTTTTCGAACTTTTGTGTTAGTGGTTCAAATGTCAAAAATCCCTTTATTAGGAAAATGGCAAATTTCTTTATTAATGCAAAGGTGACTTGGTTTATCGTTACTGTGACAAACGAAAACACTTTATTTGATGAATCCTTAAAGAAAATTTTAATTAATATCAATCAGGAGAAAAGTTATTGCAAAAATATATGTTGATCCCTAGACACTTTTGATGTGTGTATATAGCCCAAACCACTGGACGGATCGGGCTGAAATTTGGCATGTAGGTAGATGTTATGACGTAGGCATCCGCTAAGAAAGGATTTTGATCAATTCTACCCCCAAGGGGATAAAATAGGGAATGAAAGTTTGTCTGAAACTTTGTCAATTTTAAACCGATCGGGCTGAGACTTTGAATGCAGGTATAAGAAGAATCATAGATGAATGTCATTGTGTATAATACAAGCCTGGGAACAAAACCTGTAGTTTACACTTCAGCTCTACACCGAAGCGAAGCGAGGGCGGGCCGCTAGTTACAATATAAAACTAAAGACATAGATCGAAATTGATAAAGCAATTGTGTCTACTTCGCGTGTCAAAAAGCAGATCAATGGTCAATGGCATTCCTTTTACGCTAATTTATTTCTTCGCGTCACCGGTCAATGGTAAAGTGGGGTTTTCATTAGAGAGCTGTAACCGTTTCATTTTTTTTTATAGTTAGGTCCGACATCTGACTCCACACCACCTGATGTTAAGTGAAGGTGAAGTCCAGACGCGAAGATAGCTGATACAGCAGTTCTACCTGCCACACCAGCTATCCTCACCCTGCCGGCCTGCATGTTGCTTCTTCACGCCTCTTTTAAAGGATCCCAGGTTCTAAGAGGGAGGGAACACGTGAGCGGGCAAAGCATTCCATTTACGGATAGTGCGACAATGAAATGAGTCACCAAATTTCTTTGTACGCGTTGAATTGTGGCCACAGTTAGAAGGTGACAACGTAGGCCAGAGCGCGTGGTCCTCTGAAGGAAAGGAAAAGGTGGGATAAGAGAGAATAACTCCTCAGAACACTCGCCGTGGTACAGACGATAGAACGCGCTTAGTGACGCCACGTCACGGAGTAATTGAAGAGGCTCAAGGTGTTTAGTCACCTCCTCATCGCCTATGATGTGGATCGCGCGCCACTGTAACCTATCCAAAGCATCAAGCAAGTACTAGGCGGAGCCATCCCAGAGGTGCGAGCAATATTCCACGCAGGGTCGCACTGCATGCACTGTAACCAAAAAACATAGTGTGTACCTGGTTCGCTAACCTGCTGCGAACGGTTTGCAGCGAGCCGGCGTTTACAACGTACTCGTTTCTGAACCCGTAACTTTGCACTTAACTGTAACCGTTACTGTTACCAAAAACATATTCTGTACGTGGTTCGCGAGCCTGCAACGAACGCTACACGAGCGACTCACAGCGAGCCGAAGTTTGTCGGTTTTTGCCGCAAACACAAACCAACACTGCGCAGATTCGGCTTGTCAGTGGCCTTCTCGTACACATTAGAACCTCGTTACTGGACTTTTTGGCGGGATG